CAACTAAAATTTAAAATTTTCACCTATAGATGACAAGGATTTCCTAAATGGTTACAATCCGGATACCACTTATAATAGCAAAAAGGTCAATAAAACAATAACAACCTGCACAACTCAGATAGCAGATGGGTCTCATTAAAACCCTAGAAGCTCTCCCTGGTCTCTTAACAAGGGAAGGGAATGAAATAATGAACTTAAATATGCACAAGTTGTTCGGTTTCTATCCCTATTTCATGTAGCCTAAAACCTAAAATTTGCGAATTTGGGATACAAAATAACCGAGCAATAAAGCAACCATAGACAACAGAACTAATAAAAGCTGATAAATCCTAGCAGGAATGAGATATCTCTTCCATGAAAAAGATGCATGACGCCATGAAGGTATCGCCCGATCCATAAACTGAAATCAAAAGAGCGCTACGTAATCTAAAGGGATATTTATTAGCTTTGTTAGTAACTTTAATACAGCGCAGCAACGACCACAAATTCAATAAATGCTCATCTATCACGCCAACAAAGCTAGCGCCACGTCCAAATAATCGAGTAAATGTCAATGTCGATGCATCTATTAAGCTCATTAATGGAGGAAAGACGGAACCTAAATCTGGTGAAAGGAGAAAATATCTCCGGATATGTTGCCTACGATTGCGCCAAGCCGCCCTCGTTGTTATCCTCCGCCAGAAAGCATTCCGGAACCCTAACATCCATTCTGGCTGTGGAAAACCCCTGCTACGTTCACTTCCGCCCGAGAGCAGAAGGGTACCTTTATTCTAAATTATGACTGATACGCCATGTAAAAATTATCTTGATCGGACACGAATCTCGAGAGAAAAAGCTAGTTGGAGACTTCAAAAATTAAATCCGGGAGCATCCGAACTCCGATTTCAACGAGCTTACAGTCAAACTGAGCGTCTCGGAAATACGAACCCCATGTGAAGAATGGGAGGTCTTATTATAGTTATTTGAAAGTGGTATGACTTGTAAATATAGAATATATCAAGGTCAAGTTGGGAGTATTAGAATGGATGACTATTATCGATCCCCTTGATCATAGACTGTTGATCATGCATTTAAGTTCTTTAATGATGTCAGAATTAAACAATCTTGGACTTGTTGGAATCGCCTCATCGAGCCGCTCGATTCAAGTATAATCCTATCACATTTGATGATCATTTAGTTATTCAATTAATGTTTTGAAGCCTCCAATTATGCTTTGGACCTTTGATTTGGGCTCATTTGGGCTTGGATTAAACTGATTTTGGGATTGTTGAGTTCGTCTCTTTGAGATGCTCAATTCGACTTTACGTTTGTTGAAATCAGAGCTTGGATTATTCCTATTTTAATTTCAAAACTTTATTGCATGGATATGCCTCGAGATTCATGCCTAATCAAGCTCATTCTTTTTGTTATTAAGGGGTTGTTTATTTTGTGGCAAAATTTGTCTGAAGTATTTTAATTACACCGGTTTGAAGAATATTGATGTTTGCTTTGAATTAAATAAATGAAATGTAAAATTTAGATGCACTTGACATTCAATATCTAGTTTATTTTTTATATATATAGAATCTTTAGATTTAAACGGGTTCCAAATACATAATAAATTCATTTTCTTTGACGCCACCCGTCACCCTCTGTTGTCACTGCCGCAGACCACCACCACCAGCAACAGCTACCCACCATCGTCTCCGACCACAATCTTCTTTAGACTTTTTATTGCACTTATTTTACTTCAAACTAAATAAAAAATAATAATATCATGCATTCATTTTACACTCATTCAAATAATTTTAAAATATTCATTTTACACTATATTTAATTTACAAAAAAAATTAACTAAAATTTTGTTGCTAAAAAACTATTTCAAAAAATAATAAGAAAAATATTCCAAATAAAGTCTTAGTCTCTTAGACAAATGCAAAGCATAGCCCTACATGGGATCCTGGTTGGGTACCCACGCTCTGCGCTAGCAGGCTTTCCTCACCCATGCCCACTTATAGCGACTTTCGGGATGTCATACCCACCCACACTCACTCACTTTCCACGCTTCTTGAATACAGCCTGCAACGGATTAATGGCCTTAAGATTCTTTGCCTTTTTCTCTGACTGCAAACTTTTAAGCCACATATCAGAATTTATCGTGATCGCAACGCGGTTTAGTGCTGCACACTGCATAGTAAGGATTACTATAATATACTGCATGCATATGATGATTAGTAATGTAAATCGATTTGTCTCTTGATGTTGAGTACCCACCCATATCAACCCATGAGGCTATGAGCGTACCCATACTCACTCATGCCCATTGGATATGGATGGATACGTTGATGGGTGTGGATATAGATATCCAATACAAGGCTCTAATGCAAAGCAAATAAAATAAAAGTTTTCGTATTTATATATTTTAAATGCTGTCACGCTAATGTTCCATCAGCCATCAGCTACCACCATAGAAATACTTACTAGTAGTCCCTGCATTGAAAAAGATTATATAAGCTACAAAATTTTCAAATTTAAATCTAATTTGTATGATTTTCACATTTAGGACAGGTTTTTTAATCCTTCTTAAATAAATTTTTAGTTAAAAAAAAATTTAAATTAAAATTTTTATACTAAAAAATTATTTAAGCAAACAATAAAAAAACTAACTCAAAACAAAAACTTATTTTGTTCGGAAATTATTTAAATTAAATAAAAAATAATAATATCATGTATTCATTTTACACTCATTCAAATAATTTTAAAATATTTATTTTACACTATATTTAATTTACAGCCCATTATATTTTCAGTCAACTAAATAATCCCTAAATCTAAAGATGAAATAGCTTAAGAAGCATAAATTTTATAAAAAAGAAAATAGAGGGTTGCTACAAAAAAATAGGGGAATGACATAGTTATTGGCTTATTATTATATTTAAAAAATAAATATAAAAAATATCAATTTAAATAAGTCAGCATGCATAGAAGGGCCAAAAAATCAGATTTCTTCAAATTAAAATATGTACTGATAAAAAAGATAAATTTATTAAAAGCTTTGATAAAAATTATTTAAATGCTTTAAATTTTTTTTAATAAGAATCTATGATGAAGATTGATAAATGAAGAACAAGCCATTATATTAGATAAATTTGTGCAATGATAAATAATCCTATGAACAGTTAATAATTTTCACATGATTTTCTAAACAACTTTTACTCCTTCAGAAACTTATGAGCCTTTACACCAATTATCTTTTCAGAACAAATCTTGCCACAAGTAATGTTCTCAAAATATTCTTCACCAAAATACTTACACTTTATTTGAAACAGTTTTTTTACTGTTTCTTTTAAGTAATTTTTTCATTAAAAAAATTAACTAAAATTTTGTTGCTAAAAAACTACTTCAAAAAATAATAAGAAAAATATTCCAAATAAAGTCTTAATCTCTTAGACAAATGCAAAGCATAGCCCTACATGGGGTCCTGATTGGATACCCACGCTCTGCGCTAGCAGGCTTTTCTCACCCATGCCCACTTATAGCGACTTTCAGGATGTCATACACACCCACACCCACTCACAATAAAATAACTAACTCAAAACAAAAACTTATTTTGTTCGGAAATTATTTAAATTTATCATTTAAAATTGGGAGGTCCACAAAATAGGTTATAAAACTAATAAAATTAACACTGGCCAACAATATTATTTTTCAAGGACCCCATCATTCCATATCTTCATGAAGCGACTCAAAACTATACAAAGACCCACAATGATTTTACAAATACTCAAAACTTTTACTGAGGAGAAATTATTGTGTACTTAATCAGGATGTGAGTACACACTGCTTATTTTGTTACGTATTTTTTGATACATAATTTTTTTTACATATTTTTTGTGTATTTAATAAGTATTAATTATTTGCTACTTATTTTGTCACGAAAAAATTATGTATCAAAAAATACGCAACAAAATAAGCAGTGTATACACACATCTGAACACGTTCGGATTGCATACACAATAATTTCTCTTTACTGAGACACAAAAATATTATGCAGCAGTTTCATAGCAATCAGATTTCATTTAAATATAATTCCATAAATCCTTTAAATCCAAATTTACTAAATCCTAAAAACGGTTTTATAACATTCATTATAATTTCTGTTAAATTCTATATAACAGTTTGGCTATTCTAAAAAAACAAGAGGGCTATTCTAAAAAAGCAAGGAAGAGGAGGGAAGGCAAACGGCTAGAAACAAGCAAGACTCTTCTTCCCTCTCATGCCACTAAAACATTAAATCCGCTGAATCACATGATTTCAAAAATCCAAGATTTACCACGAAAAGGGATATAATTTTCCATCAACCACTTTCATTTACCATTAGATTTGGTTTTGCGTTTTCGTACAAGATTCAGCTCAAATCCACCTCAAATCCGGCCTAAATCCTGCTACCAAAAACCCTAACTATTTTTATTTCATTTTCTCATAAAAGCTTAAAACTTTATTTTTCTAGAATTCCATTTAGTTGATTGTAGACAATCTTGACAAACATTTTTAAAAAGATCTATATCCTAAAGCCCCCAACAATCAGCATAAAGAATATATAGGAGGAAGTGCAGAGAAGGAAAGAGGATTCTACTCGAATAAAAACTAAATACACAAAGAGAAGATCTGGACTTTTCTCTAACCTGATGTTCCTCGAGTTTCAAATGCCAAAAATCCCCAACAAGTGTCTCTTATTTGGCAAATTATTAGCCATCCGATTTTCTCAACAGTAAAAGCACAGTTACTCTAGCAGCTAGACAGAAATAAACGGACTGTCACGCCTAATAATTTCTCCTCTTATTTACCACCAGAATATCAAAAGCCACATTATAAAACTGGCCTCACTATGGCGTTGTTGATTGTTGAACCATCCCAACATCTAAAGCACCACTTACCTTCCACGGTCTTCGTCAAAGTCAGGAGAAATTAGGTAAAATATTAAAAACAATAATACCACCTTCCCCAGCACACACAAGCAGTAAAAAGAATGCTGATGTTAAACATAATAAGAAAGTTGGCTTTGATTGTACATAATACAGACATTTTCATTAAAAAAAATGAAACTTACTTCTAGAGGTTGAATCATGAAGGACACTCATTGGAAAGTAACCAACGCTTATTGAACCCAACGGCACGTCATGTTTGAAAGGATGACATGGTCAAAAGAGGAAACATCAAGGCTAAACAGGTTTAAAATTCAAAGAAATGTAGGATTTTTCTTCATGAAGGTTGAGCAAAACGGAGAAAAAAATATATCAAACAAGAGGGTAACTGTCCTGGAAAGTCCCGTTAATGGACCCAGACAGAGATTTACTCACCAACTTCTGTAACCTTTCTAACATACTCTTCAAGTAAAAAACAAATCATTTCGGGAAAATGAATCTTCAAAGTTTAAAACCAACCCCAATTTAACTGCCCCGACCACTTCCAGCCAAAAAAATTACGTACTAATTCGAATACTTGTAGTAGTAGTAGAAACTCATCAAGTTGCAGGAGAGTAGAAGTTGGCATGTCAAGACTTTCAGTTGACCATTTATTCCAGCCATGCCCCAATTGCACCATCATCATAACCGCCATCAGCTTCTCCCACAAAAGAATTCATGGCCGCTGCCTTCTCTGGTGTAGATTCTTTCACCAGTGAGTTAACCCAAGAGACATCAGGTTCTTCGCTGCTGGAACGAAGCTCGAAAGAAGATGATCGCTTAAGCCTACCGAGCTCTTCACCATTGACACCCCAATCAAGCATCCCGGATGGTGAACTCCACTTGGACAATGATGAACTCAATAGTGAGCCAACAACTGCCTTTGCTCCAGCCCCCAAATCCCGGGAGCTAAGGCTTCTGAGAGTTTGCTGCTGTTGCTTCTCATGCTGAACATATGAAGCATGGCGAGAACTCAATGGGGACACAGGCTCCATGTTTCTTGGTGACATCCTTCCAGGCGAAGATAAACCTAGAGAGGCCTGCAAGAAAGAGGAGTGTCCAGGTAGCTGTTGATCCAAAGCTTTTGGAGAGAACATCCCAGTATTTGTATTTATAGGTGAAAGGAGGCTCTGCTGCTGTTGCTGAAACTGATTAAGGATAGCAGTCTTATGTGATGGAGAGAAAATAGCTCCCTGTTCAGAGTTATATCTGGGAGAGGAAGAAATTTCAGCTGAAAAAAGATCATCAAGGTTAGAAGCAGTCATGTTCTTTGACCGGACTGTTCTATTGCCGGCGGAGGAGCCAAATCGAGAGATATATAGCTCATTCATCAAATGGTGGGCTTCTAATTCCTGGTTGAAGTAGTCATCCAATGGCATGTCTCTAGCACTAAGAGATGATCTAAGCCTGCTTGACTGAAGATTGCTTCCAGGAAGGTGCAGCGCAGGCACATTAGGTTGTGGCCAGTTGATTGAAGAATGAGAGATCCCGTTGGCAGAAGGAGACAATGGAGGCGTAAAAGAAGGGATGACTGCTGAAGCAGAAGATGGAGAGCTTGGCATGAGGCCCATGGCAGCCATCTCCATAGCAGAGGCGGATGATCTAGGTGAAGGTACAGCTGACCCAGTAGACATGTATAGAGGACGAAGCTCTTCATTAGTGTGAGCAAAAAAACAAACCCTTCTTGCACAGTTAGTCCCATCCTTACACAATCTTGTGCGATACTGCGCTGGGTGAAGCCAACACTCAAACACCCCATGCGCATACTCACACATATCTGCCCTCCTACATGCCCCTTTTCGAAAGTCAGGGCAAGGAACACAGCTATAATGAAACTTGCGAGGGTCACGCCTCCGGGCATTCTCACCTGGGTGAACAAAGGGGCACTCAGTCCAGTCATGTGAGTAAGCCCTTGAGCAAGGGCGGACCTTGAATGAGAACATCCGGAACTCATCTGTAGCATACATGCTATTCTTGATATCAGGAAGGGAAGGATCAACAGGATACTCTTTCTTTTCCGGCAGGGCAGGGAGCTCTTGAAATTTCGCATCTATTGGAGAGGAGGATGAATCAGAGGAAGGCGACCCCTGCTCTTCTGCTGATGATGAAAGTGATGGAGAGTTGGAGTTCGAAGAGCATGTAGCAACCCAAAGGCCTTGGCGATGAATCTCGCGGACTGCGCCTTCAGAACTTCCAAGAAGCTCTTCAAGTGCAGCCTTCCCGTTAGACATTTTATGAGGGACGATAATCACATCAGCTGGTCTATGGCCCATGGCATCTACACAGTTAGGGTCGGCTCCAGCCGAAAGAAGGATTTTGACTGCCTCCACAGCATTCACAGAACCACCAGAAGCAGCACAGTGGAGGGCAGTGGTCTTGTCTGGGCCACAGCATCGGTTAACATTCTCAGAGGAGAGGTTAAGAATCAACTCGAGCACATCAAGGTTTCCATAGGTGGAGGCGACCATGAGTGGAGTTCGCTGCTCGATCACCTTCTTGCGACCGTACCAGTCCCCAACCTCGTCAATGGCCAAAGGATCTCGATCAATAGATCGCTTGAAACCGTCCACATCGTTATTAGCCGCGAGCTCAAGAACGCTCGCAAAAGTGTCTTCTATCTCCACAGTAAGTTTATTCATTGCTTTGACTGCAGAGTTATAGAGAGTTATGTTGGAAAAAGATGAAGAAAGAGAACGAAGACCTCACAAGATTCAATCTGGTGGAGATTTGCCTGGCGTATATACGAAACTGGAAATTAGAAGTTCATAAATTTTAACGGAAAGTTCTAAACAGCTCCCAAATCGATCTAAGAGCCAGAGTTCCATGGGAAAAAGAACGTTTTACCAAATCAAGAGGTCAGAGAGCAAAAGACTGGACGACTACCGAAGACTATATCCACCCAAAAATTTTTTTAAAAGAATATTAGTTACAAAAATTATTCTTGAAGAAATCACAATCTTCCTATTCCCAAGCTAAAATCAGTCTAAAAAATAGCTAAGTAGCGTAATTTTTAGCGGGAAAAACAAATTACACAAATGATCCAACTCATCAACACCGCATCCATATTCTACAGAATCATCGCGTTATATTTCATCGAAATCAGTCATTAGAACAGAAAACAAAAAAATCAAACTAATAGAAAAACAAAATAATCTACCGCAATAAAAGTAAAAGCACGCACTCAAACTAAATGAAATAAAAAAGGTGCTCAAGCACGTACCAGTTTCAAGCGGATCAAACCGCAGATTCTGCCATCTGAATCCACATAAAAGATCGCGAAAAATCACCGGGCAAGAACCGATCGATTTTTCTCTAATCTGCCCACACCGAGCAGGCAGCAAACAGCCCCTCTACGCGCAAACGATCCAACGAATCCATAGCATCGAGATGCATGAAACCCCAATCAACGCTCAGAGAAGAAGAGAAATACGTGAAATGACGACGTCGGAAGGAGAGAGAGAGAAAGAAGCAGGAGGGGGTAGGGGTTCTGCTATGCGTCTCGGAATTGAGGCGAAATGAAACGCTTCTGAAATGAAGAATAAATTTGGCGACTCCGAAATTTAACCCCTTCGCTTTCTATGGGTTCTACCACAGGCCGCGAGATGAAACCCACTCGAAATTAATCCAAATTCACCCAACATGAGGGTGGGATTCACCTTGAATTCAAAAAGGAGGTGACCGGCATAGCCGGTAGAAAGAAGGGGCGGCTTGCCGGTTAGTTGAGATTGGGATACCGGCTAGTGTAGGGGAACGAGGAAAGTCGTGCTTGGTTCGAGTTTTTTTTTGCTCGATTGGAATCCGATGTGGAGTCCGCGAATCCAGCGCTGTGCGGACTCCAGACAGCAGTCAAATTTTGTTTAGAGTTGTGTCGAGTCCGCGAATTTGAAAATATTTGAAAGGAATTACTTGTAGACTTTCAAAATCAAAATCGTTTACGTGTTGGATTCCGGTTGAACTCAAAATTGACCCGACACAAATTAATTGAACCTTAATCTGACCCAAAAATGGGTCACTTTTCGAACTCAAATCTGACCCACTTTGAACTCGAGTCGACCCAACACAACCCGTCAACCCAGGTCACAGGCTTGTCTTCAACCTCTACCGATGGTGAGCTGGAGCAGATGACAGAGACAATGGTGATGGCGGAGGAGGCGGTGACAGTGGAGGCAAGGACTAGGTTGCGGCGGTCGCACGCCGACGCTGAAGGAGGCACGCGAACGCTGACAGCGGCACGCAGACGTGGACAACGACTCTTGGACGGGGCATGGCTATGGCGGAGGCATGCGGATGGCAGTTAAAACCGATTCTTACGGCGTACCTCAGTCGTAGCCATGCTGACGCTCGAGTGATGTTGTCTGCATGCTGCCGTCAGCTCGAGTGATATTATATATATGCATTAATTTTATTTATTGTTTACTCTCAATATTCTTAGAATTATGAATTTTTTATAGTTAGAATGCTATCATTATTATGTTAATTTTATTAATTTTTCATAATATTATTATTTATTACATCATTCAGTTCAACCTAGTTTGACCGGTCGAATCATGAACATTTCATTCTTTCGATTTGTTGTTCGGTCCAATTTTTATAACCTTGATCAATATTATACTGGAAATATTTGTAATTGAACAAACCCTAAGATAATTGAAATTTTTAATAAACTTTGTACCACAATAAATTTTATTAGGGATACAACACTTTATAAAAAATTTTTAAGGACTATGGTGAACAACAATAAATTGAGTTTGATGGATTACAAAGAACAGATCATCCCTAGTAAATTTATTATATAAAAAAATATGGTCAATATATTATGATAAATATTTTTTATTAGAATAGGCTTTAAAATACTTAGTTCTATTTTAAAATTTGTGTAATACATATTATTTATATATTGCACTCATCTTAAAGTAAAATTATTTTTTTATTATGTTATCAATGTTTAATCAAATTGTGACATCTTGCTTCTTACATTTAATCTCAAATATTCTTGAATTAATCCGAAGAAAATGTTTGGTGAGTTTCTCTACTGAAACTTATATAATTTTTAGGTGAAATGTTTATGTGTTTTTTAGTGTTGATTTAATGATATTTCATAATCTCTGGGTAGTATTTTATCTCGAAGTTCATCTGTTTCTGAAAATTTGACCCGGAACATCGTTAAAATTCTTCTATGTAGGGGAGGCCGGGGGCCCGAATTTTCGGAGCCCACATTTTCCCTACTATTTTCACCCACTTAAATCCTACTTTAAGTGGTCGGCCAATAATGAGAGAGTGCTTGACATAGTTGGGTTCTCTTGATCATTTGATGGATCAAATCTTGTGCAAATTTAAGGAATTGATTTAAACACTTCATAGATCAATTTACTCATAGTTCCCATCTTTTATTCCACTATTTTATGTTGGCCAAGCATCTAAAAATCATTAACTCTAATTCTTATTTGTTGCTATTTTCCCCTTTGTTTGATCAGTAAAAAAATTTTCAAAAAAAATATTGAAATTATAAAAATTGGTGAAAATTTGGATTGGAAAGTTAAAAATCATTTCCAAGTGAAATTTATAAAACCCACTAAGTATTTTTAGGATATGATATTATTTTCTCACACTTGGTCATAGGGGTGTCACAATATTTGACACGATTCGAGAATCCGTTCCGAAAATTTCGGATCAGAATCGGATTGACCCAGAAACCCAAAATCAACCCGAGTTGACTCATTTTTAATTAATTTAGGAGGATTTCAAAAGATTGTTATATAACAAATAAATTTTATTTCCAAAAAAAAAAAATGAACCAAGTTGCTCGAAGTTTAAATAAATCAAATTGATTGAAGTAAATCTTACCTTAATTTAATTTAAGTTTAAATAAATCAAATGAAATAAAAAATTATTAAAACATATTCGAAGCCGGTCAGGTTGTGTTGACTCAGACCCGAAGCGGGTCGGTTCGGGTCCGAAAAACCAACCCATTTGTAAAAAATGGGTCGGGTCGAACACTGCCGGGTCAGTTTCGGATTGGACCTGAACAACCCGTGACCCAACTTTAACAGCCTTACTTGGTCATTTCTAAATAGACTTGACCTAAATTGAGTCCAAAGCCAAATTACCTAATCTAAGCTCTACCAATTGACTCCATCTACTACAAATCAACTCTTTATAATACTTTAAACATCCCCTAACAAATTTTCAAAAGATCCCTCCACCATAATTCAATTATTCAAAGCAAGTCAAGTCAGCCCAATTCAAGCTAAGTTAACTTGATCTTAGCTCAAAAAGAAATTTTTGAGTCCACAAATGAATTCATCCCAAGTAAAGTAAAATTAGACAGCCTATATTTAAACAATACAAAGAAAGCAAGTTAATGATATTACTGGCGACCTCATAAAGTATATGTTTATTTATGACTCTGTTGACTAATCTTGTACTTGGCATTTATAATACATATATGAGCTTGTATAACTTCGATACAGGCCAAGCCACAGGTTGAGTTGTTCAAGATATATTTAAAATATTGCAAGGTTTTAAAAATTTTGATATTTAGTTTAATTTTAAATGAGTATAAAGCATTTCAAATGCAGATATTTTGATTGGATGAAAAAAGAATGTAAAGTAAATTAGTGTAAATCATTATAATTCATTTTTGAGGTGAAAAAAAAACTAGCCCAATTTTGAGCAAGCACGATTTAAATCGCAAGCAAGCTCGTCTAGTCCCCACCAACCACGGTCCCCGCCTCCAACCACCGTTGCTGCCCACTGCCACCAACCGCCGGTCACTAGCTACCGCCACCACTCGTTGCCGGCTACCACCTCTGTCGGCCCTTGCCAACCAATATTGCCGTCGCTGGCCATCACTGTCAATGGTCACCATCTTTTGGTCATCACTATCTTTAGACTTTACATTATATTAATTTTACTTCAAACCAAAATTAAAAAAAAAAAATCACTTGAATTTATTTCACTCTCATCCAAATAATTCCAAAGTATTCATTTTACAATGTATTCTTTTTACACTGTAATTTTTTTACATTGCATTACTTTTTTAGCCAACCAAACATCCCCTAAATGAAATATTACATGCCAAGAGTATATCTGTTTTGCCAATTCAGGCATTGTTGAGAGCTAGTATGGAAGAAATATTTAAAATTTTAGAGACTTAGCCCGTCCAACATGTTGGGGATTGAAGTAAAATATCGCAACCAAACAAACAAATAGAAATGAAGCGGAAAGTAAAGGACATTAAAATTTAACGTGAAAAAATTTGAAATCAGGAAAAAGTCATAGAACCACACCACATCAAGAAATTAACTATGAAAATGTGGAGAAAGAACGAAGTAGAGATGTCTCTTCTCTCTTAAATTGTTCTCACAATCAAAACAAAAAAGAAAGATAATAAATAACACCAAGAGACTTCACCCTTGAGAAAATGAGAGAAACCTCTGATCCTGATCCCTTTGACGATGCTATGGTGCTCAAACCTTTAACGCTGCAGTACTACACAGCATTGTAGCACCACCAAATCTAGAGGGTTGCGGTGCTCCGCTCTCTATCGTTTTTCCCTGCACCCACCCGCAACAATCTCTTATCACCCACATAATTTAAGTTGCCTAAGTTATCCTCCTAGGAGAGAGCTTGTCCAAAATGCCTTCAATGTAAAAGAGATTACTATTAGCATATTTCACCATGCAACAGTCTTCCTTCATATGTTTAAAAGTAAAGAGATCTAGCTGATCTCTCAACGATATAATGATGGAATCTTGAAGAGACTTCTGCCAACTAAAAATTCCATTTCCCACTGAACAAATTAAAAGACAAAGGAGTGGATTTGGAATGATTAAAAGCATAATCTCCCGACTAATCTATATTAAAAATTGAGCAGCGAGGGATGTTTCATACCAAATAATGCAAATAAATTTAAAATATAATTCAAAATTATTATATAAATAAGTTATCAACATGATTGATTTTTAAGATAAAGCAACCGACTTTTGACTATTTGTTTTTTATTTTGTTCCTTTGTTCTTCTGTTGGATATGAGCATTTTGGGGAAAGAAAAGAGATTTGATAGTTCAAGCTTTCCAATATGATAATCTTTTGCAATCTCCTTCAAAACTGTTGCAATCCTCTAATGCTTTATTCTTTGAAAGTAGGGTCTCTCTCTCTCTCTCTCTCATTATTGTGTGAGTAAGCGTGAGTGCGTGTATAACGAGGATAATTATGACCAAATTATATCAACAAAGAAATGTGCTATTACGACGCAGCTCATCATGATATGTAGGTTTGGAGCTTTGGTTACCAACCAAGAGATCTTGGGTTTGAATCTTGCGTATGTGATGTACGTGTGAGTTTGTCTTGATTGGCTAAATATCCCAACAAAAAAGAAAAGAAATATACTATTATCCACCATACTTTGCACAGAAAAAAGAATTTTTATAGGATGTAAGATAAAACTTATAAAGAATTTTTAATTGAGTTGAATAGATACTTATTAGATATATATAATTGAAAGTATATTCATGTATATATTTTGTCTAATAAAA